CAAGAAGGAAATTGGGGGCCCAAACAGGCGCCATGATGCTCATGATGCTTGCTCTTGGGGGGCTGCAGGGCGCGTAAAATGCGCTATAAACCCAAGAAAATGCTCAAAATATACGCTGTGGGCAATGTTTGTGGCTGTAAATACCAGTGCTGGTAGGATCTGCACTGTATGACAAGCATGAGACAGGTTTATACTGTGGCAGCGATATCAGGTCGGGTTGTACCGCTAACCATTGGAGGCTTCCTGCGCAGCTTCTGTAGTCTTTGAGCTCGTCCGCACTGAGTCGAGGATCTCCTTCTAGTCGTCCACGCTTTAGTGAGCCTTGCTCCAGTTCGCTCACGAAGGCCTTCTGAGTGATTTTGATTTTGAACTCGCTGCCTACCCTCATTAGGCTAACCTCTTTGCCTTTGAAGGTAAAATCGCCGTTGTCAAGCAGACTTGTGGAACCCCAAGTGAACATGCTCAGAAGCTCATCTAGCTGATAATCTTCTCGGTATGTAGCGAGAAAATCGTCCACATGAAAGAGCACAACGATGAGCAGTTCGCCGTTATCATCAAGCTTGTAGTAGACGATATGATCCAATCGATACCGCACGAAATTCGCACAAAGCAGTTTTGTCACTATGTGATTTATCCAAGTTCGGGGAGCATTACACAGACCATGAAGGTGACCTGTAATTTCGTACAACTCGAAAGGAAACGTCTTTGCCATTGCTTGGATGCCATCTCTTGGGGTTCTCATGAAGATTGGATGACTGCGAGGCTGCGGCTGGCCTTGAAGGAATGCTGTTGAAACATCCCCCGACCAGAGATACCACCTCTTTCCCGATGTCTGCACTCTCCTGTTGTAACCGGAGAAATCTCATAGATGATGTACTCGGCTAATCTAGAGGGAGTAGGCGAACTTCTGTCCGAGATTGACATATCGGGATCATGGCAACCTTGGATGACTGTCCGACACTTAACTTTAACTTCAGGGCCAGCGCCTCGAAGTTTGTCTCTGTATGCATTGCGGGAGGGCATTATCCGCTTCCTCAGAACAGGATCTGATCTGATCCTGGCTGCTTCTCCTGCAGGAACTGGTCTGATTGATCCCCAGGACATCATATTCCTTGATATTTGCTTGCGCATAGAGACTGATGACATCGGTCGGGTAATCAGACATGAGTTTCCGCCATGGAATTTCTCTATCAATGGCCTTGCGCTCTTGTCGTGAGAGGCCCGCCTTAAGTGGTCCACCGTCATCATCAGAAGAATCGGATGACACCTCCACATCCTCAAGCTTGGCAGCCAAACACCGAAATGCACAGCAAGGAGGGCCATAGTTCACATCTGGAGAACCGTCCCAATCATCACGCGGTTTACTTATCTCACGCAGAGTGTCGAGGACAAAATGCGTGAGTAGAACCGAGTGCGTCTGCGCTTTTGATTTGGATGATGCTTGCCGTGCTTGTTGTGCATGAAGTGGTTGAGGTGCGCTCCTTGGCGATCTAGAACCGGCTTGTTTTGCTGGTAGTGCATGATGAGGTCTCTTAGCCGGTAACGACTGCGTCTCCATAGTAGTTGTGGCTGCAGGTTCAGGTACTTGTGGTACAGAAGGTTGGGCTTGTGCAACCTCTTGTATGTCTGCTCTAGGACCGACTGCTTGTTCATCACCTTCATGAAGAGCGTCGTCCATAAAGTCTGCCGCTGCCAGCATTTCAGGTGAAAACATTCCGAATTCAGTAGGCACAGTAAAGGACCTGTGGTCAATGGAGTTGATGGAGCCGCGAGTGAGGGAGGTTGTAGCGCATGACGTTGCGCTAAGGCACGGCGCCTGGGTGTTGGTGGTTGTCGTGGAGTAGATGGTTGCCCTGGTGTTGGAGGTAGCGCTTGAATGACGCGGTTGCGCCTGCAGGTTGTAGCTGACGAGTGGATGGCGCTCTACGGCTTAGTGCTCTGGAGCGCACAGTCCTTGAAGGTCTCGTGCCCGCATCTCCCAGCTGCCACCAAAAGCGCTGAACGTGTTGTTCATAGCGAGGCGAAACACACGCACATCACCGTCACGTCGATCCCTTCCATGAGGTTCACTCCCAGGTAGCCCCACCAGGAGGGTGAGGTGTAGGAGGGCTTGTTGAGGTAGAAGTGCACTTTGAGGTTCTGGTTGAGGGGGTTCACGACCAGGAGGAGGTAGCTGATAGTTTTCTTCAACTCCAGCAGCGTCACCAACAGGTAGATCATATTCCATGGGTGCGTGAACAGATGTTTCGAGTGGCTCATGAGGTGGAGGACCGACCTTGTTCACGTCCATCCTCCCAGAGTCCTTGACAAAGAAGTTTGTTCGCGTTTTTCAGCATTTTGATATCATCAGGGCTTGGGCTCCATGACTCAATCCCAATGGCAGGTCGTAACTGCTCGTGACTCAGCTGCACAAGGGAACCGCCACTCTGCACCCAAGGCATTCTTCTCATCGTTCACCACGACACGACCAAGTATGTAGCCGCCACGTTTGCGTCCGCGGGCTTTGAGACTCCAGCGCCAGTATGCCACCAAAGAGCCTGGCAACAATTCTTCAACCCGAGCTCTTGATGTAGCCGTCTTGCGCAACAAAGCCCTACGGATGATTGATGAGGCTGTCATTTCCTGGATGACCTGACACGCCTGAGATCAAAGTTGTTCTGCAAGCGTGTGATAATCTGAGGTGGCGAGACCTGCTCCTGCCTCGTGTATGTATGCTCGAATTTACTGCATAAATTCAGCGCTGAAACAAAGATCAAGCTGGTCTTGATTGCAGACGCCGTTCTCATCAAGCAAGCGCTCAACAACGGACCTGAAGATGGCGTTGCGCCGCTCGATGGCACCTATTTGATGATGAGCATCTGCTGGGGAAACCGTTACCATTACATTAGACTCTTGTAGATGTTTTATGAAGACCCCTTCTAAAGCCCCATCAGCATCAACTGCCATGAACAGTGGATAGCCAAAATGTCTCAGCCAACGTCTGTCAAACTCATTTAGCACCACTTGTGGATCATGTGATGCCGAAATTGCAGCTTGATAGAACTTGGTTGCTAAGCATGTCACCGCTACTAGTGCATGGTTGGTGGCTGACAGATCTCTGATGTAGAATACATCAGCCTGTAGCTGTTCTCCAAATTGTCCAACGAATTCCGGCACCGAGGCCGGTCTTGGTTTGAGAGGCATCTTGGCGCGCTCACATGTGCCGCAGCGCACGTGTTCAAGCGCTGTGAACACTGCCGCATTAATTGAACTGTGCGCTGCAAGAAGTCGCACCAGCTCTTGCCGATGTGGATGTCCAGCACTCACGTGAAGTCTAGCCACTGCTGCTCGAACTTCTTTTGAGATGGAAGATGGAATACCAGAAAAACTGATGTCTGTTTTGAGACCAGGCACATGTGCATCCGTTTGATCGGACTTGGATGCATTCTTCTCCACAGGATCATCCTCAGCTAAGCCATAGAAGAAAATGGCGACACGTACAGGTGTTTCAAAACGAGGCTTGGGTTGCCTGATCTCACTCAAACCTTCGCTTCCAGCTGCAGCCTTCCATCATTCAACAGCAAGGCCGCACCCCGATGTGTGAAGGGAATGTCCACTGGAAGCCTCCTAGTGATCAGATTTGCATACACTTGAGCACGGGTTATCTCCCAGGGCACGAGTTGGCGTAGTTTAGCCATGTCCTTCGAATTCTCCAGCAAGTAGAATGACTTAATTTTGCCGAGGCGGGCTTCAAGAGTTTCGAGGAACTTTAGCCACTCTTCAGGGTCATCTACAGGTGAGGCATACCATACATCATAAGTATTGCGATCAAATCTCCATGGACAACGAAGACAAACCTCTGCTTGAAAAGCTTTAATGAGTACATTCGACAAGTCCGAGCCATCATATTCCTAGGCAGCCTTGAGAAAGCATCGGCTGTTGGTAATGAAGGACAGCTCTATGACGTTGTCGCAGATCGTATTTGTGAAGGATGCTTCACAGGTATCGGGAAGATCCACTAATGAGGGCAAGATACCGGGTTCATCATGGTGGTGCGCAAGGTTGTACTCCACAATGAAGATACCGCCGTTGCTCACCTGGCGCTCGCAGCGTGTGAATATGGCTTCCCTCACTTTACGATCTTGTCTCTGGGCACTGTGTATGACGATTGCTGCAGGCTTGGGTTCCTGGACAACCTTCATGATAAAACTGGACTCTCTAGAGAAATTGATATTGCCTGGGCACACCATTGATGAAAGGCCACAGTCATTCACGGCGTGGTTCCCCAGATTTCACTTGCAAATCGCTGTTCCCAGAATAATTCCAAGAAGTCAGCCTTGAAGCAGTTGCTGAGGTCGCCAGTCCTGACAGCGTAAACATCAAGCTCTCTTGTCAACAATGCTATGCTCTTGTCGCATTGGTGCACAACGCGCTTGATCCGCCCCTTTTTCATGTTCGCGCGCGCATAGGGCTTGTTCAAAGGTCCAAAACTCTCTGCAAGGTTGTAGTGTTGGGTCAGCTCCGCCTCTGCCCCACGGTATCCTGAAACTTCTCCACTCGAGGTTGGGCGAGCACGCTTGGCCTTGGCTCCCGGCAGGCTTGTTGAAGCAGACGCTGTGCTCGTTGGCCATGAGTGATCCACCACCGTCTGCGCTGAAGGAGAGGGCAGCGCAAAGGATTTGGAAGACGGATGAAAGCGCCACCCAAGACCATTTTCGTCCCACTTCCACCTGGCGAGGCAGTTCTCGCACGTGGCGAAGCGACCCGATGCGTTCTCGCGCCGCTTCATGCGGCTGTGGCTGCATCCTGTTGGTGGCACCGCTGGCAAAGCCTTAGCCGCCTTAGCCTTGGCCTTCTTCTTCGTTTTGGCAGAGGACTTGCATTCCTCCAAGAGCTTGCTCACGGTCTCTGTCATGCCCAACATCATGGCCTTGTACACGGTCACCACTGCACGCGCCGCTAGCTGACGAAGTCTCTTGACCATACGCCGCCGGGAGGAGTTGCAAGCATCACGTTGAGGCTCGCTATCAGATTGAGGAACTGATGGACTATCTTGAGCTGCATGCGCTGTGGTTGTGAGTTTGTTCAAGAGCTGACTGTTGCAAAGAAACTCACAATCGTGCCAATCTTGCTCATGCCACTCAAACTTTACATCAGCAGGGTACTCAGAAAGCTTGATGCACAAGTGTCCTTGGATCATGTGGAGGTCCACGGTGCACCCCAGGAGTCCCACATAGGCCTTCTGGTTTGCCAAATCAAGGATGACGTTAAGTTTCTTCATGAGGCTCAGGCTCGCCAAGAAAGGGATCTCAAGTCCATCGAGTACAGAAGCAAACAGCGCACACATTGGATAGTCTGCATCAAGAGCTACAGGAAAGTACACGCACTGCTGGGAAACTTGGGGGGCTCCGGCTCCAAACTGAAATGACTCCAATCTATCGGACATCAACTCTGTAAGGCCAAAGCTGCCGAGGAATTGTTGTTGGCTATCGCACCACCTTCGGCTACAGCATGATCTCTGGCACGCAGTGTCTACCACGCAGCTTCCTTGTAACGCGCTAGCATTAGCCTAACACTCTGCCGTCTGGAAGACAACCAATGACTGATGAAGTCTTGGCGGTGTCACTGTGCTTGTTGCGCCTCGTCCATCGGCACCGAAGTCATACAGTATCTCATGGCCGCCTGAGTGTCGAACTGAAGAGACTTTCTGAGCACCCATCCCCTTCTTTGGTTTGCTGGAAGAAGAAGATTGACTGCAGTCTCCTTTGCCCTTGCCTTTTGCACTGACCGGGAATTTTGTCGCCGGCCCAGTAACCCAACTGCCCACAGGCAGAGCAGGCTGAGGTTTTCTTCCTATCTTCAATGGAGCGTTTTGGGGCTGCCCGGAATTTTCTACCCTGCGTCATAGCCTGTAGCTTCTTCGAAGTGACTGTGAGAACCTCCATGAGCGATTCAACGGTCTCATCATCACCGTCTTGATACTCCCTGTCGGGGATGAGCTCTTCCGCATCCTCGCCGAGAGTCATCCTGCTCATCTTCATGGATGATTTCTAACGGCTCTTGGTCATCGTCATTGCCCACGTTGTCAGGGTCATTGGTTTCAGCCACGTAGGTCTTGCGATGTTGAAAACCTTGCGTGGATAAAGAATTGCCACTTGAGAACCCTGATGACTTTGACTGACCCTTCTTGCCGCTACCCTTGGCACCCTGTCCCGAAGTACGCGAAGTATTGGAAGCATTCGGGTTTTGACCCTGAAGACAAGGAGCTGGTTTGTGATCAGGATATTGAAGGACCAGGGCATTCTTGATGTCATCGAAACTCACGCTCTGACCGGTGTCGACTAGCACCATTCTCTGCTGCTCATCGGTCAGCTTGGCAGTGTCAAGCAACCGGCTCCCTCTGCTCTCGGCATCATAGGTTAGGCCCACATCGACGCCGATGCTCATGAGTGCTTTTTCTGCCCTGTGATATCTGTTCACGTATGTGCGCAATCCCTCGCCAGGAAACCTGCTGATGGTCTCATAGTCCGACAGGTACGTCCTCTTAAGATACACCTGTTTAGCCTGAAATGGACCACGCAACTGCTCCATGAGGAAGGAAATTCCGTCCTTGGCATAGAGCTTCTTGATGTCGATGTGTTCTAATTCTTCTTCCGCTTCACCTCCCAGAGATGTGTAGAAGGCCAAAGCAGCTTCTGCATCAGTCATGTAATTCTTGATCTGCAACTGCCAAAACTCAACTCGCCGCTCAAACTTGTTGAATGCTCTGAGGTCATCTTTGGCATAGTGCCACTTGGGTGGCACTGGAGGTGTTCCACCCCTCCATCTCACTCCTTTAGAGGGACCTCTCAAGGAAGACCATGATGCAGCATCTGATCCCGCTTCTCTTTGAGAAGCTGACGAAGTTCTCGAATCACACTGGAATCATGTTCGGTTCCGACTGTGGGCTTACGGCTGTCTAGTGCAATCTGCTTGCTCAGTTTCGCGCTGCGTCTCTGCCTTCGGCTCATCTTTGGCGCCTCAGCTTCACTAGTGCTGGGTGTGACAAAGGGATCAACTGTCAATGGCTCGCTCTCTGCTGTCTCTGAACCATTGCCGGCTCCAGAAGGATGAGGTGGACCCACCGCACGTCTCAGGCCTTTCATCGTGTTCGCTGCCGTTATCGGAGTCGAAGAAGACCTTGGGATGTATGTCCATGTCCCTCTATCTGTCTCAAGAAATGTAGGCTGCAAAGCATCATACAGTTGATCTGATCCGCAGCTACTGCATACCCAGTTATATGCCATGTTGTCCCACTCACAGACGGTGCTGCGACACAGCCTGCATGTCCAAAGCTCTCCTCCTTCTTCTAGATTCGGGGATGCTGCAAACATGGGGACAGAAGCACTGGAAGCACCCTGCGCTACCGATGAAAACGCTGGCCGCAAGTCACGAAATAGCTGAGGTCTATAAGATGACTGCAAGGATGGCTGACACGACGTGCTGGATTGGGCTCGTGTAGCAAATGCATTGCCTCAAATTCGACTTATCGCTTCAAGTCCAGGAGGTTGCGCAAATCTATCCTGTCCAAAGATCGAAGGCGCTTCGGTTGCAGACTCCCTGTGTTCAACATCAGCTTCAGCATCAGCCGAGTTCATGAAATCTAACAAATCGGGAGCCATCTCGTGCTCTGTATCGATTTCCATGCAGCGATGCTGGCCCCAGATCGGGGCTCCGCTGCCAACTTATGGTAGCCAAGCAGTTTGCAGAATGGAGAAGGGAAGACGCACGGACCTTTTATCGCTGGATGGCTCTCAACAGCTCGAAATGCTAAAGATTCAAGGGATCCGCTGAACGGCCGCGGATAGTCACGCATGTGAGTTCCTGATCACCGAATGTTCACTGCTCAACAGCCTGGAATTCACAGCAAGAACATAACTTTTTCGTGCACTTCTCTCAATCAGGAGTATCAGCAGGGCTGGGGGGGCTTGGCTTTCACTTGATAGCTGGGTGGGCAGGGGGGGCAGCGGCCAGGCCGGCACCTGCCGCCAGGCCCTGAATTCCAGATGGACAGGAAGCACATTCAGCCTCAAGACGCAGGTCTACGTGAGCCGTATGTGGGGTTGCAGTTGTACTTTGCTGCGTGGAGGCCGCTTACTCCCTGTAAACAAGTCCTCACTATAGTTACATGCCCTTCTGACAAACCTTTCTCGGGAGCCAACACACGCAACATCCGCCCAAAAAGGGAAGGCATGCAGATCTTCTCGTCTTTGAAGGGCGCAAGCCCCACTATTGCTGAACTCACAATTGTTAAACTTCCGAGTGTCGGCCTAGGCATCTGCTTCCTGCTCCACTTACCTAATCACAACTCTACGGCCTCAAGAAAATCTGAGCAGATGATGGATAAGCCATACTGACACGACACTTTACAACTCGACTCCAGAAAGGTCTCGGGGAAGTGCCAAGCCATTTACTCTGCAGCTGACGGTGCCGTTGTGAGCCCCGGCGGGCAAGGCAAGCACGCAGCGGCAGAAATGGTCCTGGCATCTCTATTCAACATAGGGCTCTTGATTCTCAGGTAGTTGCCTATCATCATTTGCATCTGGGCGATGCTGAGTTGGCGTAAGTGCTGTTCATGGATCCGATGAAACCATGCCGTTTACAGGGGCCGAGTTGAACAGTGTTCACCTGTGGCACTGAAATGATACAAAAGACAGTGTTGCTCGGCGTTCTTGCTGCCATCAATATGATTGTCGTTGATAGCTGTTAGTGCCTCGTCCTTGCCCCTGCTACTGCCATCATTGTGAGAACGCCAGGTTAAGGTGCTCAGTGCCGCGTGGAAGTATTAGCTGCCCGAGATATACGTGTTCGAGGTCTTCAGATTTCTCAGCCTCGGACTCCTCCTGAAGCCTAGCAGAGCCCGAGCCGACACTGCACCCATGTCTAAATGACAATCCCTTTTATCCATTGTCTTTCAAGACTGACTAGCTTGAAAGGCTCATACAAATTAATCAAACCTTAGAAGCCAAAGCATGAACCCAGACTTCTCATGCCCTGGATGCGACCAGCTCTTTAACACATGATAAGTAACCCAGTGAGACAGGTGACGATAAGAGCACACAAGAATTCCCACCACATCCTGAACTTGCCAAGTCCGCAGCGGAGGCAGGATGAAGAGCCTGCGTCCTCACCAGGGCCAAGAATATGAGAATTAGCAGCAAATGTTTTTGCGGCCCAGGGGTCCTTTACATGTCAGATACGGAATGGTTGAGTGAACTCTTGCTTTCTAGTCTACAGCTTGCAGCAACAAGCACCACGTCCTGCGTCTGATAGCCAGAGCTGCAGGCATCGCAGCTACCAGCACCTAGGCAAGCTCTTGGGCCTTGAACAATAACTCCAAGGAATTACACGGGATCCTTATCCACACGCAATACGCAAGCTGACCTTGCTCACCTCTTTCTTGTAAGCACAAGACATAAAACGCAAGCAGTGCATCATTTTTCCTGACTCAGGGGGCCTCACATTAGCCTCACGCGCCAATGAAGAACAGGACCCTACCTTTCCAGTTCGGCCTGTTCCCATTTGGAATGGCTGGCAGGGATACGGGAAATGATTTCAAGTGTGTTTAAGATTCCTGGCGGTATATGCTCGAAAAGGCCCAGCACGCAGTATGAGGGCTTAAGGCTCTTCTCTACTTGGCTCATACAACTCATGTGTTTGAACTCCTGACAAGCATGCACATACCCATCTGTCAACAAAACGGACAAACTCGAGCGGGCCACAGCGAAAGATCCAAAGCTAACTTTGTTTTTTTTGGGCGGGGACTGGGATTTGAAACATGAGTTTGAAACGAAACCCGATTCCAATGTATCTTGCACATTCAAGCAAATCCAACTCCAAAAGAGTTTGGCCATATAAGAGGTTGCCAACCGAGTTTCTTCCACTGTTCGTAGTTTTATGTGTCTTGCATTGAAATGCGGTCTACTGAGTTCTATGCAAGCGATCATGAAGAAACCTGCACAACCGCATTTTAGAGGAAGAACATAAACCCAAACCCTCCAAACCACCTGGAACATCAACCCTAGCATCCACAGCAGGGAAAAAAAACCGAACTACCCAATCCTGGGGCTCCGCGGTTTACAATTGAAGAAAGCATAAACCCCTAACATTTCACTTGTCTAGTTGGAATGGCAATGGCAATGGCCATGTACATGATGAGCAAAACATGCCGATTACTTCGGAACGCTGATGCTACTACTTTTCATCCCCGGCTTGCATTCTCCACCCCATACCCCATCATTACCAAACTCTCTTGACTCAACTCCTACCCTAAGTGTGATTCACAGCCCACCTGGAGAAGCGGAGAAG